AAGGGTTTATTTCTGGTCACATTCCGCTGTCACCGTCCATCTGATAGGGGAGGCGTGGTGGCAGGAGTGTGAGGCAGCTGGTCACATGATACCACAGTCGGGAGGGAAGAAGAGGAGGGATGCTGATGCTCACCTCCTTTCTCCCTCCTCTTCAGTCTAGGACCCCAGCCCATGGAATTATACCCCAACAGTGTACAGTGATTCCATCGTCAGTTAAACTTGATCTAGAAACATCTTCAAGACAACCCCAGAGATGTATATAGAGCCTGGGTGGTTCTGGATGCTACCAAGTGACAATATTAGCCACCTCAGAAGGGGACTTCTGTGTTTGGTGCTCTCAGCATCCTCAAAGAACGTGCAAAATCAAGGGAGAACGGTGTGATGTGGAGATGATCCCCTGGGAAGGAGTAGTTCAGGGAAAGAGGGGTTCAATGGGAAATTGTCTATCCACAACTCCAGCCATGAGCCTCGTCATCGAATGTGAGACAATGAATCTCACATTGTCTTCTGGTCTATGGACTCTTCTGTTACTAAGCTAAAAATGCTACTACCGGGACTGGAGAGAGAGTACCCTCATCCCAGTGTCCTAGTGAGCTTTAACTATCAACTCGACACAGTTTGGAGTCATTTGATGAGGAAGTCTCAACAGAAGAATTACCTAGATTGGCCTATGGCCCTGTCTGTGTGGGGGCACTGTCTAGATTAGTTGATGCAGGAGGGCTCAGCCCACTGTGGGCGACACCATTCCCTGGGCAGTGGTCCTGAGCTGTTTAAGAAAAGCTAGGCAGCAGGCAACATTCCTTCAAGGCTCCTACTTCAAGGTCCTGTTTGAGTTCTTGCCCTGACTTCCTTCAGTGATGGACTGGGACCTGGAGTTGTTGACAAATTAACCCTTCCCTCCCCTGCATTGCTTTTGATCAAAGTGTTTGGTCCCAGTCACAGAATGAAAATGAGCACGCCGTGCCCTTTTCAGTTGGGGAAAGTGATGCTGGGGTTGGGACCAGCTGTCTTGAAACACTTCAGGAGATCCTGCCTGTGCATCTTGCCATCTCCAGTGTCTGAAGTCAAGCTGCACGAGGCTCTGGTATTCTTCAGTGCTCTCTGCTATGACTGAGTTTTTTTTTTTTTTTCAGGATATATAGAACCGGGTAGGATAACTCAGAGGGCTTGGGTGTTGTGCTGATGGGAAAGGACTGAAAACACGAAAAATTTGGATTTAACTGAAAATTTGTTTTTATTCTCTCCATGTAAGGAAAGGAGAGGCTGGAGGGGAGGGCAGATTAATAAGGATGTAAGAGACACGAGCTTCCTGTTCTCTCGAAGTCTTAATGATGTTCGTGGATCCACAGAAGGGAGGGCTGTCAGGAGCTGCAGGGGCCTCATAGCCAACCCAGCTCATTTTACACAGGAGCAAATTGAGACCTCTGGTTTTGGCTGCCGACATAATTAGCTACTAAGCCTGGCCGGGAGCCTGGAGTCGTTGCTTGCAGGCTGGTCTTTCTCTTTGCTGGATCCACGTGTGTTTGCAGAAAGCATTCTCACATGATGAGCTAGTATTAATAACTGATTAAAAATCACTAGTAAGACTTGATTCTTACTTTTTAAGGTTTACTTTTATTTTTAATGATATATATGCCTTTATGTCTAGGAGCACAGGTACCCTTGGAGGCCAGGAGCAGACGTTGGATGTCCTGGCACTAGAGTTATAGGTGGCTGTTAGTCATCCAACCTTGGTGCTGGGAGTTGGACTTGGGTCCTCTGCAAGAGCAGCAAGCACTGTTAACTGTGGAACCATCTTTCCAGCCCCATAATTCTCTTTTATTTTTAATTTAATCCTATTTAGTTAATGCATGTGGTGTTTTGCTTGCCTGTGTATCTGTGTACCAGTTGTATGCCTGGTGCCCACTGATGTCAAAAGAAGGAGCCCGATCCCTTGAAACTGCAATTACAAACAATTGTGAACTGCCATGTAGATACTGGGATTTGAACCCAGGCCCTCTACAGGAACAGCCAGTGCTCTTAACCACTTAGCCATCTCTCCAGCTTTTCAGTACTACAATATTTACTCTGTTGATACTGATGCATTTGCAGCAATCTGTTCGCTCTCTGTCTAGCGCCCCCTACAGTATGATCAGAGAACACATGGAGATGAGAAGTCTGTGATGAGACAGTTGGGAGAAGAGTGTGTGCACATGCATGTTGCACACACACTGCTGTGCATGCCTGTGCACACGCACGGAGGCCAGAGGATTTTGGTGGGTGTCCTGCACTATCCCTATCACCTTGTTCCCTTGAGACAGGGTGTCTCACCAAACTTGCACCTAGGCTCATGGTCAGCAAGCCTCAACCATTCTCCAATTTTTGCCCACAGTGCTGGGCTGTGCCACATGTCACGTAAAAGGGGTGATGGCTTCCTGAATAGTTAGCAGACTGAGAGACAGGCATGTCTGTGAATGGTGAGACATTTTTTCTGGGGCCTATGTAAGCTGTAATCTCTGCAATCTACATAAATATCAACCTTGCACAACTTCCATATGAGAGACTCATTCGAGAAGCGTCTCAGTGAGGACTCATGTAGATGAAGTTGGCCAGTGGGCGTGTCTGTGGGGGGGATTGCTAATTGTTAATTGATTGTTGATTATTAATTGATGTGGGAAGACACAGCCTTTTGTGGGTGACACCATTTCATGTGCTGGACCCTGAGCAATAGAAGACCAAAGAAGGCCAGCTAAGTATGGCTAGCATGGGCACATTCATTTCTTTCTGCTCTTGACTGTGGATATGTTCAGCTGCTGGGGTCCTACCCTGACTTCACTGCAGTGATGGACTTTGACCTGGAGCCATGCCCCCGAACAAACCCTTGCCTCCCTTCCATTGCTCTTAGTCAGGGTGCCTGATGACAGCAACAGAAATGAAATTAGGAGTGATCTCAAAGGGCGAATGTGTCTTTGGGGAGGAAAGAGAAAAGGAAGTTGTTGGAGGAAGAATCTCAGGATGGAAGAGTATGATTACTCGGGAAGCAGCCCTAGGGATGCCAAGGTCTAATCCCCTGGAATCCCAAATGCTCCCCTGGAAAGAATTCTTCGGTGTGATTGAGTTAAGGATATTGAAATGTGAGCTGTCTTGGATGAGCTGGGTGGTCCCCAAATCAAATGCAAATGTTCAGATAAGAGGGAGGTGGGTTGGTGGGAATACAAACTGTCGCAGTCACCGTGGGTCCCCCACAAACGAAAGACACAGCGAGGGAGATGGCTCAGTGGCGAAGAACACATGCAGTTCTTCCGAAAGAGCTAACTTTGATACCCAGTGCCCACACTGGGTAGTTCACAGCTGCGTGCCATTCCAGCTCAGGACGGTCAGGTGCTCCCCCTGGCTTCCTGTGGCACCTGCACGCATTGCCCACATTCCTCCCACCCCACTTATTCCTAACTTCCCTTATGATCGAGTGTTATTACTCCTGGGTATTTGCCCACAGGAATGGAAATCTAAGCCTGTATACCACATTTACATGTGAACACTTGTGATGATGGTTGCGCTAGGCACAATAGCTTGAATGTTGGCCCAATCTCTATGTATGTCTACAAATGATAAAGGAAACGCAGTACCTATACACAATAGGGTGTTATGGTGCCTTAATGAAGAATCGAGTTATGTGTTTGCAGGAAGCTGAAGGTTAAGTTAACTGAAATAAGAGGAGCTGAGAGAGACAAATATCATGGACTTCAGTGCCCATGTTTGTACGGTCAGTACTCTTACCACTGAGCCTTCCCTGCAGCCGCCCTATGCTGGAGTTTTTTTTTGGAGCAACTCCAAATGGCTGCAGATCCCATGTTCTTTTGATACCCGGGATGGACCTCTTTTCTTTAAACTCTGATCTTGAATTTCTCATACCTTGCAAAGGGGGACATGATGAGAAATGTTCACTTAATCCAAGACTGCCAGCGTTGGAGGCTCGGGGCGGTGGGATGGGGAGTTAGGTAGAACCCAGAGTAAAGAGCGGGAGACCTCCTGCCATGCGAAGTGAGCCAGGGGATAGCAGAGCCCAGTTCTTTTCCAGACTAGGAAGAAAGTGATTAAAGTTGTCGTGAAGCTCTGTGACATTGGTGTTGAGCTGCGGCTGTTTATAAAATAACTGCAGATTACAGGGACGAAATGGAAACAGTGGGAGCCTCACCTCGTGTCCTCTGATGTTATTAAACGCTGCGTGTCACCATCACCAGCAGCAGGGGGACTCTCACATTCTCCCCCCCCTGACCCTGTCATTTCTGCGAAGCTCACACAGTCTCTCCCTTTATCAAGGCAATTTTCTGCTGGGGTCCCCACCTGACTGTGCCTATGGCACCGTGTGCAGATATTTAGGGCAGTTTACCTCCTGCTTTTTTCTCTCCCATTCCTCTTTTCCTCCTTTATTTTCCTGGACCTTCCTTTCTTCCTCCTCTCTTTCTTTTCAGTTTTATTTTATAATTATTTGTGTGTGTGTGTACATATGTGCGTGCGCGCATGCGCGTGCTTGTACGTGTGTGAGGTCAGAGATTTACAGGTCAGAGATAGACTTTGGGCTTCTTCCTCAATTATTTCTCCACCTTATTTTTCCATTTGTCTATTTATTATTTTGGGACAGAATTACATGTGGTTGAGTCTGGCCTCTGTCTTGCCACAGCGACACATAAGCCTAGGATATCCTTGAACATCTGGTCCTTCTGCTTCCACCCTTCCTTCTGAGGGCTGGGGTTACTACTGAGCATCAGGATGCCCGGTCTACACAGTGCTGGGGTTGGAACCCTGTGTCTCCATGCATGTCAGGCCAGCACTCTATCAACTGAGCCTCATTGCTTCACTCTTTCTTTCTGAAACCGTTTTTATCATGTGTCCAGTCACGGCAACAAGGAAGGCAGCAAGCTTCCTACTGGTACAGCAAGATGCTACTGTTAGTCACTCGTGGTTTGATGGCAATGAAGTGGCCACGTGACTGGTGAACTTTCTCTGCTGTTTCCTTGCAGAAATCCGAGAAGCCTTTCGTGTTCTGGACAGAGATGGGAACGGCTTCATTTCCAAGCAGGAGCTGGGTATGGCCATGCGCTCTTTGGGGTACATGCCGAGTGAAGTGGAGCTGGCTATCATCATGCAGCGTCTGGACATGGATGGTGAGACCTGCTTAGTACTGCCAAGCTGCGCCTCCGCCTCCTTCCCTGGGTCTGGGATGTGTACAATCGCCCGCTCAAGTCCCTGCTCAGTTTACACATTAGGAATAGAAGCTTGAACTTGATCTGGGTTTGTGCAACAGGACCGTGTGAGCGGGACAGCTTTGGCACAGTTACAGGACTAGAGAGATAGAGCTGATTTGGTTGGTTAAAAAATTAGATTCTCCTTTCCATTCCCTCCCATTTTATTTTATTCGTTTCCTTATTTTTAAGGGTAGAGAGCTCAGTGGTTAAGAACATATGTTCTTTCATTAAGATTCTGTTTACATTGCCCATGTTGGATGGCTCACCACCATCTTTCAGCCCTGCTCCAAGAGGATCTGACATCTCCTGCCTCTGTCAGAAGCTGCACTAATGGCACACATACACATACACACCACACACACACACAGAGACTCATAAATAATATAAATCTTACATTTCCATTTTCATGCATATGTTGTGCATGCATGTGTATATTGTGTGCATGTGTCTATGAGCATATGTGTGTGTACATGTGTGTTGGCTTCAGCATGATGTTCAGAATCATCTTTGATTGTTCTTCTGCCTTGTTCCCTGAGGCAGGATCTCTGAAGCAAACCCAGAGCTCCCAATATACCTAATCTAGCGAGTCATGTGCTGTGAGAATCCCATCCTTACCTTCTGAGTCCAGAGTGACAGGCCACAACACCCATGCATGTTTTATGTGGGTCCCAGGGATTCCAATTCTGGTGTTCTTGCTTGGTGGCAAGCACTTAGCTGCTGACCCACCTCTGTGGCCCCTGATTCCCATTTTACATCAGCTTATGTGTGTTTGCCCGTGTGTATACATGGGGTTTGCACGTGTGGGTATGTAAGCGCATTTGAATATGTATATGTAGAGGTCAGGGTGTCACTCTTTAGGCACCACCCACCTTAATTTTTGAGATAGTGTCTTTCATTAGGACTCAGGATTCATGACGGGTGACCACTCTCCATTGGACGCTCCTTCTCCACTCCTCCGGTGTTGGGATTACAAAACTATGCTTCAATGTCTGTGGCTTTATTTTTTTTTCAAGCTTTCATCCTGGCAATCCGTTCTATCATTCTCATGCTTGCAAGGCAAGTACTTCATTGACCAAACTGCCTCCCGCTCCCCAAGCACCCATGGAGCGTAGCTCTTACCACAACTATAGGCAACAAAGCTGGTGGGAAAGTCTCCTTTCTCCAGCAGTCGTTACTGCTTATATAAAGTCGGGGAGGTGCCTTGTAAATCTTGTTGAGCTTCAGGAACTTCATGAGACTTGCAAGTTTTATTTACTTCCTGGGTCTCAAGAGCCTTGCTCCAGAAAGTGTTTCTGTGAGGAGGAAGCAACGACAGAAAGCACAGTAAGCCAGATTAAAAAGACGACTGTTCTAGCCAAGCCTGTTGGAACCGGTCTGTCACTCCAGCTCTTTGGAGGCTGAGGAAAGGTGATGGTAGAGTCACAGTTTGCTTTGTGGAATCGTAAGCTGTCCAGTTGTGGTGCTTTGAATGAGAAATGGTCCCCATAGGCTCATGTATTTGAACACTTGGTCTCCAGTAGGTGGCGCTGTTTGAGGCGGTTATAGAACCCTTAGGAGGTGGAGCCTTGCTTGAAGAAGTACGTCACTGGGGACCTGCTTTGAAAGCTTGTAGCCTTGCCCCACTTCCTGTTCACTCTACTTTCCGTTTGTGGTTCAAGATATGGTCAGTCAACTTCCTGCTCCCATATAGGTCTGTCTGCTTCCATGTCTTCCCACCATGATGGGCTCCTATCCCTTTGAACCGTAAGCCCAAACAAACTCTTTCAAAGGTCACTTTTGTTCACAGTGTCTCATCACAGCAGACTACAAGTCACTAACCCACACACCTGGCACCTGCCTTCACGTTTCTGCTTTGAGCTCCCTCCCTGACTTTCCTCTGTGGGGGACCGTGACCTCATAGTGTAAGATGAAACAAGCAGTTTCCTCCCCTAACCTGCTTTTGATCAGAGTGGGTTGTTTCTGTTTTGAATCACAGCGATATGCAGGGAACCAGAACAATCCGGTAGGGGACTACTTGCGCGGTCTTCTGTACACCGGGTTTTGTTTGCCTTTCTCCTGTCCCCTGCATGACGTGTTAGGAGGACAGCGACAATGGAGACCCATATGGTGAATGAGGTACAGCTGTGGATGCCGCTTGTCTTCTCTCTGGTTTGGCATGGAGCTGCCGGATCAGGGTCACGCATTGTCTAAACAGTCTCTGATGGATGATGACTCACTGGGTCTCCGTAGTCCTGATGCGATGACGTTGTCTCTTGTAGCCACAGTTCTGAAATTGCCAGGGCTAAAAGCCTTCAGCAAAACCTTTCTTCCATTTGCTCCCATCCTCTTCTAAGAGGGGCACTGAGGGACAGTTTCCTACTGAATGCTTTTTATTTTATTTTAATTTTTGTTTTCCTCTGGAGACGGGGCCTTGTAAGGTTGTATCCTCACTGGCCTCAAGTTCAGGATGATCCCTTATGCCTCAGTCTCTGGACTCATGGGATTACAGATGACACACTCCAGTGAGCCTGCCTTAGTAAAATGTTAACGGGTATCGCTGTTTATAAATCTAAGAAGGTGCTGCTGGGTTTTTTTTTTTTTTGTTTTTTTTTGTTTTAGTTTTAGAAGTCCCGGGGCTAGAGAGATGGCTCAGAGGTTAAGAATGCTTGCTGCTCTTGCTGAGGACCTGGGTTTGAGTCCCAGCATCCACACTGGGCAGTCCTCACCACCTGTAATTCATGTGCATGTGTCTCCAAACAGACATAAACACATGCACATGATTAAATCTTTAAAAAAAATACACTGGAAGGGGTCTTTTTGTTGGCAAACTCTTGCTATGAGTCCGAGCTAATCTTGACCTCAGGGCCATTCTGCTGCTTCACCCTCTTAAGGGCTAGGATTATAGGGATGCACCAACATACTCTGCCTTGGTAAACACTTCAACCAATACCTCTGTTTATGAAATTAAGATGGTTTTATTGGTTTTTAATTGTTTTTGAAATTTTGCTTTGAGATAAGATCTTCGCCCTAGTATTGTGGAAATTGCTATTTGGAAAGTTGTGTGTGTGTGTGTGTGTGTGTGTGTGTGTGTGTGTGTGTGTGCATGTGCACATGTGCACGTATGAGTTATTGATATAATGAAGTACTCGACAAAAGCACCTGAAGGAATGAAGGATTTATTTTGATTTTGGCTCACAGTCCACCCTGGTGGGGAAGGTGTGGGGAAGGAAGTGTGAGGGAACTGGTCACATGACATCCACAGTCAGGAAGCTGAGAGAGATGAATGCTGGTGCTCAGCTCACTTTCTCCTTTTCTTTCAGTCCAGGGTCCCAGTCTATGGGACAGTGCCACCTACATTTAGGATATGTCTTGCTGCCTCAGTTAACCAAATCTAGAAACTCCTTCTTAGATATGCTTAGCAATGTGTCTCCTAGATGATTCTAGAGCAGTTACTGTAGCATTGGCGCTTTAATTGCTAGCTTCCAGTCCTCAGAGTATTTTCACAATATTGAAGATCCTGTCTGATTACACATAGGTTAGAGCCCCATAGGACCCTGTGTGGGACACTCTTCGGGGGCTCAGGAAGACACGCTGCCCATAGGACCCCATGTGGGACACTCTTCGGGGAGCTCAGGAAGACACGCTGCCCATAGGATCCTGTGGGACACTCTTCACTCAGGCATTTGCTCCATCTGCTGTGTAAATATTCTCGATTTATACCAACTTTCTTGCACTTTGTCCCAATCACATGACTTCTCAACCTATTTAACCAGTTAGTTCATGAACACCTACCATGATAAAATGCTTTTGACTTGATTTAATTTTGGGCTCTGGTTCTTTCAATCCACTTGAAGTATGGAGTTCCCGGTGGGTGTGAACGACCATGTGGGTCCTAGAAATTGAACCCCAGGCCCTCTGCAAGAGCACCAAGTTCTCTTAGCTACCACGGCATCACTCTACCCCCTTATTTCCCTTATTATCACTTTAATAGAGTATCTTTACTCTGTTCTTTGACAATGTCATATATATAAACAATACATCTTGATCATATGCATGCCACTTTCTCCCGCCCATTCCTCCCATATGGCCTCTGATCTGTCCCCCTCCTCCCTCGTGTTTTCTTTTTTTTTCTTCCCCACAGTTCCATCGGTGCTGCTGCGGGACTGTTGGCCTATAGTGTTGGCTAGGTCTTGTTCAAGTAACTACATTAATTATTTTTTTTTTTTGCCGGGCGATGGTGGCGCATGCCTTTAATCCCAGCACTCGGGAGGCAGAGGCAGGCGGATCTCTGTGAGTTCGAGACCAGCCTGGTCTACAGAGCTAGTGCCAGGACAGGCTCCAAAGCCACAGAGAAACACTGTCTCGAAAAAAAAAAACCCAAAAAATTATTTTTTTAAGGCACAGGTTTTCTTAAAGATTCTTTTTTTTTGCTGAACAATGTGCTGCTAATTATATGAAAATAATGACTAACTGTGAAAAGAGTAAAGTTTAAAAAAATGCCCAGTCGGAGGGGGAAATGCGCGTCTTTCGGCATTTTATTACTAAGGCTGGGGCAGGAAGTTTTTGGGCTGCCAAGTTTGGGAGATGGATGGATTGACTGGACTCTTAATGAGGCCTTTTGAGCCAATCTGCTTTTAAGAAATTAGACTGTAGTTTTATATCCTTCCTTCCTGACTTTTGGACCCAAGCATCCACTAAAGCAATTTGGTCCCAGGTTGACTCTAATTAAGTTCCTTCAAGGTGGAGCATGTGCAATGGCTGATATTTTTTATGGGGGTGATGCCAAAAGTTATATAAAAAAAATAAGTAAATAGAAAGGGCTGGGGAGATAGTGGTGTCGTTAAGTGCATGTGCCTAAACTATAGTGACATTTGTATTTGCAGGATAAACACTAATGGGTCCTGCTTTGTTAAGTGCTCATATTTTAGTTGAGAATTGTA